AGTCCACGTATGGGTGTGAGCTCTATGCCTTCTACAGAGCGCTGGGTTAAAACAGCCAGTGCTCTCCGACACACTTAAGAGGTGGATTGAAGTCATAGATATGTATGACTTCAAGCTCGACCTTTTGAAGGGAGAGTATAACAAAGTGGTTGACGCACTATCGCGTATGGCAGACTATCTGGGCGTGCTAGTGACGGAGTTTGGGATTTCTGATGATGTAACTCGATATATGGTGGAAGCCTATCAAGAGGACATTGTCATGTCGTAGATCATTCGCAAACTGGAAGGTAAAGACAAGGCTACTTTCGATGATTGTGTGGTTGTTGACGACTTGTTCCTTAAGAAGGTTGGGAATAAAAGTTTGTGTGTCTCGAATAGAGACTCTTTGCATAGTTTATTTTAGGTGAGTGTCATGATGCAACCAGACATTTCGGTTATAAAAAGACAACTGCAAACTTAGTGCATAATTTTTTGTGGCCCACAATGATGGATGATGCGAAAAAGTATGTAGAGACTTGTCAAGTTTGTCAACGGGACAAGCCACCAACGCAGGCACCACTTGGGCTTATTAAGCCCTTGCCTATACCTATTGGTCCTGGTCAGAGTGTCTCCATGGATTTCATGGATACTCTTGTGACCAGCAAAAGCGGTAAACGTCACATCTTCATCATTGTAGACAGGTTCACGAAGTATGCTAGTCTAATCGCTATGCCTGAGACAGCTAGGACTGACCACGTCATCAAGCTATTCATGGACAAATAGGTACGTGACTTCAGTCTGCTTAAGTCTATTGTGAGCAACAGGGATGTCAGATTCACTAGCGAGCAGATGAACTGGGTAGTGCAGCACTTGCTTCGACATTATATTAAGCCAAGTCAAGATGATTGGGATGAGAAGTTACCTCTCATCGCCAGCCTGTACAACAATGTCGTGCACAACACGGTAAGACCCCCAACCAGTTGCATCTTGGTTGGAAGCCCAGATCTGCTCTTGACTTCCTGTTGCCTGAAAATCAGCCAACCGCAGCACCTGGTAGTTTGCTTTCAAGTACGAACAGATGCTGCAGCAGGCTGTAGAGCACATCAAGAAAGCTCAAGATGCCATGGTTGGATCCGAGAACAGACACAGACGACTGTCTGCATTTCAGGTAGGTGAACAAGTCTGGGTAAAGTCATATGAGTTGGGACAGGAGTTGGGAATCCAACGCAAACTGATGCCACAATACTTTGGACCTTGGAAATTTTGGACATAGCTGGAGGTCGACCCGATGGTCCGTCATATGTTATTCGCATTCCTGGTCACCTCCGTACACACCCCATGCATCTAAGTTGGCACCCTTCGCTGAAACTGAACAGTTTCCCTCAAGAAGATTGATGCTGCCCCCAACCATGGACGGACATGTGGACATTGATGATATCGTTGAGCACAAGCTGATGCCTGTGCCCAAGCCTCCAGGCTTGGGGATAGCCAGTGGAGGTGGTGGTGGTCTTCGTGTATGAGGGAGAAGACGTGGGTGATGAAGTCAAGGGTGAAAGAGAGAGAGGTGAGGTTGATGATGTGAGGGCACGTACCTGGTCTTGGTGATGGTCTACAAGGGCCGACATCTTCATGTACTTCGGTTCTGCTGCTGACGTCAACTGGATGCATTGTCAATTCGTAGACTGCTAGTAAGTTGTGTGATGGTAGTATGGGCGCTGAGCGCCAAGTAGGAGGAAGCACTCTGGAAACGTATGTTGGTGGTGGTGCTCTCATGACATTCGGATTCAGTGTTTTGGTTCTCCGTTGGTGGAACATCAGTGCATTACTACTTTCTGGACAGTGTTGGACTTGCTGGCTTTCAATGTGATGCTGCACTCTGGATTTAGGTCATTTCGCTCTCCCTTTTTTTTTTAAAAAAAAAAAAAAAAAAAAAAAAAAAAAAAAAAAAAAAAAAAAAAAGATAAATTATACGTTGACTCAAAAAAGGAGGGAAACTAGAAAAGAAAAACGAAGAAGTAAGAACACAATTGTTACATTGACCAAAAAAAAAAGGAAAACAAAAAAAGAAGAAAACTGCACATTGGCACAGAAAAAAAAGAAGGAAAACAACAACAAAGAAGAAGAAGAAGAAGAAAAAGAAGATGATGATGATGATAATTGTACATCGACACAAGAAAAATGAAGGGCAACAACCAATAAAAAAGGAAAATAAGAAGAAATTAATCGTCCATCGGCACACAGCCATATAAAAATCGAATGGTTTGCGAGTGACAACCCAATCACATGGGAATGGACGATAAAGGACTCGCTCCACTACTCACCACATGCACAAAAGACAAAAAATCTGGCAGTGAATCTTCCCATGTTCTAGTGGAAGATTCATGCTGATCTTGCACATTTGGTGAGTAGTGGAGCGAGGTCCTAATACAACGTAAACCCTAAACCCTGAACCACAAGAGAACACAGAGAAGACGATAAAGTAGGAGCTTTCTCGTATCACACAGGGTGTCTCTCCGCAATCCCCCCCCCCCCAACCCCCCCTCTCCCCCCTCTCTTCCGTGAAGCTTTCTCTACGTAGTTTGCTTCACTCTGTGCCCATCCTCTCTCTCTCTCTCTCTCTCTCTCTCTCTCTCTCTCTCTCTCTCTCTCTCTCTCTCTCTCTCTCTCTCTCT